TTGGTTAAGACCACTTCGTAAAACCTGCCAATACCTATTAAACCCACCTTATTAGTTAGTATGTCACTTATATTAAAAGTGTAAAGACTAGAAAGTACCTTTGATCTCTTTTCAATTTATTTAGTAGGACTGATATTGATGGGCAGGGTTTGTAATCAGGCCATGAACAACCTTTCATCTTCAAATTGTATAGCCTCTCCATAACATATAGTCTAATCTCCTCTAACATGGTGATGATTGGCTTTTTCCTTGCATCCCTGATGACACTGTTAAAGCTCTCAGACAATCCATTTTCCACTGCATCACACATCTTTCCTTCTTGAATGAATGCTCTACTCCAAGATTTTGGGTTTGTTTCCATAAGGTAATCATAGGCTGCAGGATTAAGTATTTGAATCTCCTTCACGACAGCATTGAATAAAGGCTCAGTGGATGATTTACTTGCCTTCCAAAACATGTTCTTATAGTGTACACCACTAAATCTTTTCCTAAAGTTGGCTACAATATGCCTTGCACATTGTCTATGTTCAGCAATAGGAAGCACTTCCTTAACAGCCTCTAACAACCCCTACATAATAATAGTCATATTTTAAACATCATGTAACTTAATTGTGAAATATATAAAAGTTGTAAGTATATGACATACCTTGTGTTGATCTGACATCAATGATATGCTAAAACTATCCTCTAGATGAATGTCATCTTTTAGATTTTCCAAGAACCATTTCCAATTTGCTTTTTTTTTTCTACACATACAACTGCCCATGCAATTAGGAATTTGTGATTATTAGTATCCCTTCCTACAACAACAATTAGCTCTCCTGAACATAAACCTTTAAGAAACACCCATCCAAATTTATAATTCTTCTGCAGCTCCCTCTCCACCCTTGCTTTATGGCATCAAAACAAATGTAAAACTTGCAAAAATAAGTCTTACCATCTAGCATAGCATTGACATCCATTTTGACTATTGATCCAGGATTTGATCTTCTTATCTCCTCACCATATGACCATAGCTTTGCATAGTGATCCACTAATGTTCCCTTAATCAACTCATTTGCATACTTCTTAGCTCTTCTACACTGTCCCATACTTACATCTATCCCAAATTTCTCTTTAACCTCATCCCTAAGGAGCCTAACACTAACTTTTTGTTTCTGTAAGAATTGGGTGGTGTAATGGGTACCTATCCAAGCATAATTGACAATTGAACCTAATTTGAAGTTTATTGCGTAGTTATGCTCATTTATGAGACTCTTAATTTGGAAAGATTTTTCCTCACTCATCCAAGATGCCCACAATCTAAACTTGCAAGCACCGGAACAACATTTCACTAAAAGTCTACTGCTATCATTGTCTTGTAGCATAACTAATAACCATTTGCAACAGCATAGTTACACAACATGTGTTTCAGTTGTTAAGGATTCACAGATCTCATACCTAATACATGCTTCTATTTTTTCCAATGAACATTGTCATTATAAATAGCTTGCTCATTTGATATTACTTCATCATCGACTACATGCTCATATAGCTCTTCATGAGGAGGACTGTTAGGGGTAACTTGGTCATTTGGGCACAGTTTGCTCAAAAACTCATCATCTTTTGTCTTATTCATAGGAATACATTCATCAGGTTCATTGTCAGCTTCCAAGTCAATGTCATCATCTTCCTTACCTTTCCAATCCTCCGTACTACCTTGCAGATCCTCCATATCAGCTTGATCATTCTCAACTTCAATGTCAATGTCATCACCTTCCCCATCTTGAAACTCTTCCCTAGTGCCTTGCAAATCCTCCGTAGCAGCTTGCCAACTATGACCCAACAGATCCTCAATTTCAATTCCATCATCCATATCCATACCACCTTGCACTTCTTCACCAACTTCAATTCTATCAGACACTTCATCTAATGAACTGTATATTTCGCCTTGCTCCTCAAGGATCCGTTGATGTACATTAACACCAAGATGGTCCATGTATACATTAATAACACTACCAGAAGCATATCCTACTTCGATGAAGTCCATATAGTCTATATCAGTAGCTATTAACCTCAATCCATCAGGGAACACCACATCGGGCATGCAAAAGTAAACATTGATGCATACCTCATTAGCGAATCTTTGAATGAACCCCACAAACTCGTTCTTCTCCATTCCAGCAAAATCGACATCATCGAACCTTTGTTCTGCACCATCTAAGTAACAAATAGCAGGGTACCTCGAAAAAATTCCGGCAAAATGGAGATCTATCTTCATGTAGACATCCATAGGATTGATTATGTTGGCTGATTTCAGGGAGGAAGAGTTTAAGAAACGGATTTGTGTCAATCACGGTCTGAAAAAAGTATACGAATGCAAATGGTAGCAGAATAAATGAAAGAGACAGTTGAGAGGGTTTAAACGGATATAAGTTTCATTTGGTGACATAACACGTGGCAATGACCTGGCATATTTAATCTACTTGGCATTGAGGTGGAATAAGAAAACGTCTTAGTCAGATGGGTGTGACCGGTTGCACCTTTCAAATCTAGAAATGTGATCCTTTTTAAACCATAAAATGACAAGTATAAGCCCTTTAAAAGCAAAAAATAGTCACGAAGGATCATTTAAACCAATATACGAAAGATAGTTGGGCCATAGTGACAATAACCCATAGAATAATGCTTCATTCCTTTGAATGGTTTCGGAATAGAAATAAGAAAAATAATGTTACTCAGAACGACCAGTTACAAAACCTCATCATGAATATTTATGTGTAATTGACATTTTTTTGCTATATATTGGCTAACTTTAATATTATGAAGCTGTTAAAAGAAGTTATCTACCACCTAAAAGCTATGTCACTTCTACATTCATCTTTCATTTAATTTAATCCATATTATTCACTTCTTTCACTTATCAAAAGCATTGTAGAAGCTATTAAATTACATTGTACAAGAAAAAGAACGAGAATGAAGTGAGATAGGAGAGAATGGGACGAGTCCAAGATGATACTGGCAGAGGCGGTTAATAAAAAGTGTTGTGGATGGACCCCACTTGAAAGTGGGTCCCATACCATATATATTGCAAAATATGCCTTTAAAAATCTATTTTTAGATAGAGCACATTTCTTGGCCTCCATTATTGCATAAAACACTATTTGATAAAAAAATTGTTGAAAAGAATCCCTCAAAATTACATAAAATTTGAAAATTTTATACTTTTATATGTTATATATATATATATATATATATATATATATATATATATATATATATATATATATATATATATATATATATATATAAGGACCCATTAACATTCATCCTAAATAGGCCACTGTCAGGGCCGACTCTACCTTTTGCAAAACTAAGCAAGAGTTTAGGGCCCTAAATTTTAAAACTTATTGTGTTATATATGTATATATACGTATTTCTTGGGATACAAAGATAAGTTGAAGCTTGGTTTGATGGTAAAAGAACTGGTTTATGAATCTAAAAGCTTCAAGTTCGAAACTATTTGCTTACTTGAAGGGCCCATTTTTTTTTATTTACTTAGAGCTTCTAAATTGGTTTAGTCGTCACTGACCACTGCATGTCTGGTGGGGCCCACCAAGGGCCAACATTGTGTTCCCAATAGTGCCCAAAGCTTCATCATGCAACTTCCCTTGGGGGTATGATATGTATAAAGAATAACCTTATTAGTTGTCAGTTGTCAAACCTCAAGTTTTGAAGATGTTGTAAAATGCAATATTTTGGAAAAAGTAAGTCAAGAAGTGTTGAAAATAAACATAAGAATATATAATACATATTACTTTATTGTGATAGTTTGATTAAATTTTAAACCACCATATGGCAATCAAATTAATAAAAAAACAGCACTTGCCTTAAATACGAACAGAAAGATTAGAATTATGCAAACTACGTGAAGTCAACACACCCACGACTCGCAGGCATTTGCTTTCTTTATTCTAAACAGCCACCGCATTGTCTTATCATCTTATTGTCAAACACCTCACTTTGTTTTTTCATCACCAATAATTAAAAGGTTTTTGTAATTACATTTGATTGATCGCTAATTATACATGAATTTTAAAGAAATTGTGAACATATATGCATTTGTAGGTCAACACAATCCAACATGATTTCTTCAACATGTATAACAAATGATTTTTTTTCCTCCTTCCACATAAGCGGATTGCTCAACATCAACGACCCAAGAGATTAGTTTCTTTCTTTCTTTTTTTTTTTTAAGTATTTTGGACAAATGTTTTGAGATCGCCTTAATAAAACAACCAATTAGGCTAATGTGCCGGTAATCATTCAAGATGGAAGGGTCTCTAGTATACTTTTAGTAATAAAAGAGATAATGCTTCTAGTTACCCCAAAGTGTCTAATAGAATAAGTGAAATCCGACTTTATGAATGCTCAAAACTCTTTTAAAAATTTTAAAGTGCAACCCACTGGGGCCCAACCGCCCGAGGCTTTCTGGGTTATGTAAAAATTCAAGCCAAACCAAAGTCCCTTTCGGGTTATGCATCACACTTTTCAACATCATTTGATTATTTTTTAGGCGTCATGAATGCAAAATGATAGTATAAAATACTCTGTTGATAATTGTATGATTTGTAAAACCAAAAATTAGATGATATAAAACAAGAAAGATATTCTTTTTTTTGAAACAACGAACATAACAACACCTCCAATTCAAATAATCAGTACACATTATCCTTGAAGATTTTTACTTTTAAAGTTCACCATGATAAGCCATAATTTTGTCTCAAATTTTGGGTACCGGCAACCAAGGTAGTTTCTGAAAAATTAAATATTCTCAAATACTTATGACGAATAAGAAAAAAATGGGTCATTATCTTTATTATAATTTTTTATTAAAAATAAAATATATAATTGAAAAAATTTGCCTATCTGCAGATTGCCTACTTTGCCCTCCCTCAATGCCCCATGATGGCAACAAAGAAAGATGGTCGCAAATGTGTAAATGGTCTATAAATTTGAATCCTATATATATATGTCGTATTCCATCTATGGATACATATCAAAATTTCTATCTTTTTAGTTTTTAGGTACAATATATCATGGAATCGGATATTCAAAATAAAACGAGACACAACATTACACAACATAACAAGAAAAAACAAATTCGTCCAAGAGACCTCTCATCTCGAATTGCTTGTCTTCTCGCCCTTTGCGTACTCATCCCTGCTAAACTATACGAATCTCCATAACCAGACAACAAATCTTCCGAATTTCCAAAAAGCCCCTTGCACACCATTTCACCAAACATCCCAGATATCGGGCTTGCCCGTAAAATTACATTCGGTACTTCTTGTCGAATGTCACGTAAACTATGTTGTTGATGTGGCATAGTGTGGACCCTACATGGCCTACGTGGGATTGAGACTATTTTTTCTTGAGAATTTGGTTTTACGGTTAAGGTAGGGATGTATAATGAAATTAAAGTGTTTTCAGATATTTTGGTTTTGCATACAGGGCATAGAGTATTTACTTTGTGTGAAAGATTAATCCATTTGTAAACACATGGCCAACAATAGAGATGTCCACAAAGTGTGACCACCGGATCTTGGACTGTGTCTAGACAAATATTACAATCGAAATTATCTGAAACTACGTTGTTAGATTCATCAACAGTTTCAGATAATGATTTCCACTTCGCATGAGACATGGATTCGTGGAGGTACCCTTCCATGATTATAAAGTTATCGGTGTCTGAAATAGAGATAAAGATAGCATAGGTTTAGAATTTCTAGCAAAGGATATTGTAACTAAGTTTATATGATTACAAAATTTCAGTCATAGATTTATTATTCTGTCAATGTGTAGATGATAGAAAACAATCTATTAAGCAGTAAACTGAATTAACAAAGTGATCGAGACAGTTTAACATCCAAATTAAATATGAGAATTAACCATATATATGCAGCAATAGATATACTTCATTTTCAATGTCAGATATAACATGCCGATTAATTTGAATTGCTATGAATTGGAATCAAATAGAAATACGTACCAAAAAATTGGAGATTTGAGTGTTGTCTTTTTAGATTGAAAATCTGTGACAGATTCAAAGAATCGATTAATTGCGTCGTGAAGTCGTCGAGTGAAAGAGATAGAGAGAGAAGTCTTTGCTCTGGTTAGTATATATAGGCACCGAACTATGCGTATTCGTATACGTATTTTAATAATTGTGTTATTTTATCCCAGAAAAATAAAAATGAAAACTAAAAAAAAAGATTAAGTCAATCAAAAAAAACAGTATTTTATTTAACAGATTATTTTAAAGTCAATTCAACGGTACCTCTATTATTTCATTATCAATCAAACACTTTTATAAACGATATGTTTTAGTTATCCTTACTATTAGTCAACTACGATTTACATTTTTTTTTTCTTCAGTTTTGTACATTTCCCTAAACTATTTCTTAAAGGTCTGTTTTAGTTACTCAATTATGGATTAAATTATTGTTAAAAACTTCAAATGCGTATCAACTCTAATATTACGACGAATTCAATATACATGTTTTATTTTAAATTGTTGATAAAATATTTTCGTTTGCTACCGTTTCTAATCTAATTTATTTTTCCTGTTTAATTACATGAATAGTAAATTTAGTGTTGGTCCAAAACTTCCCTTCTCCTTCTTCTGATTATGAAATATTTTATATACATTAATTATGATTTAATATTTTTATTAAACTCTATAGATATGTTGGACATGCAAAATTTAGTAGTTTCTGAGGTTTAAAGTTTTACTTGTGGAAAAATTAAGTCTTCATTGGGCAAAAGCTTTGTTTGAATAACAAAGCTTTAGGTGATTTAGTTTTTACTAAAAGCTCTTCGTATTTTTTTTTTTTTGGTAGAGTTTTTGTTTTTTGAAAGAACCACAAACCAGAAAAAGTCTTTACGTCCTCTTTATCCAATAGAAACGACACATGTTTTTCCAAAACTTGCAGATGTTTGTTAAATTTAAACTTTTTCAAACATTCAAAAATCATTATTTAATACAAATTGTTTTCAAAATAGTTTCATATCAGAGTATCCCAGAAACAAGATTATAAAAATGCGAGTAGGTGCATGATCATGCATTCGTCTTTCCGCAATCATCCAAAATACCTAGAAAAAAAAATCGAAAACTGTAAGACCAAAGTTTAGTGAGTTCCCCCAAAATACCAACGTCATACAAATCATAACCATATCATAGGAAATAAACAAACATCATGCATACTAAGCCATTAGCCTGACTGGACCCCCTCGCAGGGCCACCAACCTATCTGGACCGCTCTCCGAGCCATCGACACGTCTGGACCACCTCACGAGCCTTCAGCCTATTCGGACCGCTCGCTGGGCCTCCGGCTTGACTAGTGCGCCCTTACCGGGTTTGTAGTCTATCCGGGCCGCCTTGGGTATATTGACCTAGAGCACAAAGCAGAGACCACCTTAACCTATTCCCCAATCACACAATCAACACATAAATATCAAATGCTAGTATGTACAACAGTTAGATCGATCTAACATATCACTAATCATAGCATCATCCTATGTACCAGGATATTAACCTAACATGTCACTAATATAACATCATCCTATATACCAGAATACCGACCTAACAGGTCACTAAGCATATCAATATGCAATAAACCTGGATACAAATCCAAAAAGGGTCGGCATTGGTACCTTTGACCCTGTTAGTATAGTGAGGACAACTTACCGAACAATGTCGAACTCTAGTGAACTGAAAAGATCAAACTCCCGAAACACGGCTCCAAACACCAACACCTACAACCACCAATAGTGTAACGTCCGCAGATCCGGGCTAGTCAATTTTGAGGCAATAAGTGTCGAAAATGACTTTTAGACAAAAGATTATTTAGAATAAATAATCTTAACCAAGTTGTAGAATATTTCGCAAGGTTTCCGTACATATAAAGAACGCCAAAATCCGAGTTATAACGAAGAAGTTATGGCGCCGAAGTTTTACGGCAAAACCGGCACGAAACCAGGAGACGTAAATACTAAATTTACGATGGAGGAATTTTTAGTCTTAGTGATCTAAAATAAAGTCGTAGAATATGTTAAACCGAGAAAACCCATAAAAAGAACGCCCAAATCTGACTTCGTATGAAGAAGTTATGATTTTTCTAAGATTCGTCTTAGCATTGCACGGCCCAAAACTCGAAATTTAGTTCGAGTGGTTTTTGGCTTACGTGACCTAAATGAGAGTTGAATATATCATTAATAGGAATTTAACAGTCAAAAGACAGGCGAAAACGGAGTCCGTATGAAGGAGTTACGAATTATTCGCGGTCATTTAACAGTCTAAACGCCTCCTACTGTTAAATTTGAGATCGGTCGAGAATTAGCCGAAGAGTCTAAATGAAAGTTGTAGATCTTGATTTTACCTAGGTATGGATATAAAGAACATCGAAAACGGAGCTTGTATGCGAGAGTTATCATTTTTCTAAGTTTGAAGGCTGATACGCGATAGGGGGTGACGTGGCACCACCAGAGGAGGACACGTGGCACCACCAGAAGGGTGCCACATGCACCAACTCGGCTAGTCATGACTCAGACTCGGCGAGTCCACCAGTCAGACCTCCTATAAATAGAGGTGTCGGGCATTCACTTCTCTTCACACCTCAACCCTCTTCTTTCTCTCTCTATACTCTCTCTCTAAGCTCCCAAACCCTCCCTAAAGCCTAGGTAAACCCCCTAGCACCCGAAGGAAGCCCCGAGGCTCCCGAAGTCCCGAGAAAAAGGGTCTTTCGGCTCGAAAACGCTACTCCAGCGAAGCCCGATTTTCGAGAAAACCCGTTGTAAGTGAGCTACGCCTACCCTATCTTTAGTGTAGCTTATGTTTCGATATAGTAATGTTATTAGGACTTTAAAATAATTATTTGGGCTATTATTATGAGTTATATTGAGTGTTATTTAACGCTTATATAATAATAATAATAATAATAGCTACACTATTAATTAGTCGCGGTTATCGTTAGACTAAACCCTAGTGGTGTTGATACTAGGTTTTATCGAAGGAAATTGTTTTGAGAGTATCGAAGCGTTGTCCGAGTGCTAAGTCACCACCTTTCAGGTGAGTGCATAGTCCATTTCATCTTACACATAGATATGAAGTATTTTATATAAACTACGTGCTATATGTGCATATTATCTGAATACTTGCTGTCTATGTTGGATGAATGTTTTATACATGTTTTAAATGATTTAAACTGTATACGTATTTTATATATACGAATATGTTGGGTATGAAATGGGTAGATGAATGATGAGAGATAAAAGATGATGTGAGTAAACATTAGCAGCTATAGACTTAGTGCCTAATAAACATCGGCAACTATGGACTTAGTGCCTATTGGACAAACACTGGTAGCTATGGACTTAGTACCTGTTAGGAACTGGTAGCTATGGACTTAGTACCTGTTAGGAATTGGTAGCTATGGACGTAGTACCTATTAGATAAACACTGGTAGCTATGGATTTAGTACCAGATGAATAGACTATAGCAGCTATGGAATTAGTGCTTTATGAACGAACATTGGCAACTATGGATTTAGTGCCAGTCCTATAACCATGGAAGTAAGGGACTTCAGAATAAACGAATGCAAGATAGATGACTCTTAGGATAAATCCTTAAGAGTAAAGAAGATAATGGGGATGGGTAATTGGGTTGATTTTTTGATTGTTTAAACATAATGATTATATTATTGTGGGTTGGAAACCCTATGTAGTCACCCGGTTTCCCAACCTGACCCACTCAGTTTATTTATATCACAGGTGTTGATATAAAGTCACATTATACTGAGAGATTTAAAGAGATGTAGATCACTAGTGTAAATAAATGTAAGTTCTGTTTATGCTTATGTTTATGTATTAACGATGACATCCCAAACGTTTTGAAATGAATAAAATATGTTTCTTCGAAAATGTTTTAATAACGTATTTATCATATTTTTCTGGGAACAAATTCCGCAACATTTTTATTAAAAGAAGAACTCTGATTTTTATAAAGCATAAACAAAATCGATCTTTTCTGGCCGTGAAAATGGGGATGTCACAGTTGGTATCAGAGCATTAGTTTAAGCGAACTAGGAATATGGATTTATTTCTAGACTTAAACTTAGAATGCTAAGCGATGATTGTGAGGTGTGAGCACTAGCTTAATTTAGGAATGATGCCTGCTTTTATATGCTAAATGATTTGTTATGCTATAGTTTGATCGGATCTATGGTCTATTGCCGACCGGATCTGGAAACCTTATGTGTTTAGGATTCTAAGCGTTTAACTACGATATTAGAACTAGCATATAAACGTTTCGGAGTGATTAGGATGATTTAAACATCAATCCTAAGTCAAGGTCTAGATTCACCCTATTCGGTGTATAGATCAAGATGGAAAGGACCCGTAGCGGAAACGTGAATGCAAATGAGAGTAGGAACCAACCCCCAGTGGTTCAGCAAATACATGTTGTAAAAGAATTTTCACCTGAGCCAGTCACCCTGGCTGGAGTTCAAGCCATGATTCTGGCTATACTAGCTGAACAAAGGGAAGAAATGAGGCGGATGTGAAATGGGGACGAACCTACTATGCCCACTGAGCAACCCGAGTTGATTCTCGAGCAATCAGAGGAAGGGAACTATAGCCGCCAAGTGAGTCAAGTGGGGACTCAAGGTGATCAAAGGGATGTCCCAGAGAGGAGAAACGACAAGGATGGGCGAATGTACAAGAATTTCTTGGGTGCGAAACCACCAAGCCTCTCAGGAAGCCCAAAGCCTGTTGAGATTATGGATTGGATCTCCGAGATGGAAATGGTGTTTGAGAGCTGCGACTGTAGCGAGAAACAGAAGACCGTCTTCGCTGTAAGACAACTGAAAACTAGATTTTTTAGCTGGTGGAAGCTATTGGCAGATATGATGCCACGAGGAGAAGCCTTAAGGATGTCATGGGAAGAGTTCTTGGAACAGTTGAAAATGCAGTACTGCTCGGAGACAGATATGATAGACCTGAACAACGAGTTTCAGAACCTGAAGAAAGGGAAGATGAGTGTTGATGAGTATGCCACTGCATTCACCGAGAGGATGAAGCTATTCCCCTACTTGGTGCCTACTGAACTCTCCAAGATTGATAGGTTTGGTAACGGACTGCCCACTGACTTTGGCCCAATGGTCAAAATGGAAACTACCTTGAAAACAGCTGTTAGGGCAGCTAAGAATGTAGAGGCCCAGATAAGAGAAAAGGGTCTAGAAAAAGATAAGGCAGGAGAGAAGCGGAAGTTTGAAGGATATTCAAGGTCCAACAAGGAAAGAAAATTCTCAAAGCTTGGAGGATGAGATAGAGGTGAAGCGAGATGGTGTGATAAATGCAAGAAGAAGCATTGTGGGAAGTGCAACGAAG